CCAGCGGTGACAAAGGCCTCGGTCCTAGCACTTAGGTCTGAGGCCATATTAGAGTTGGTCACCTCCAGCCTTGTCTTCTTTGCCGGAGGATCCGAACTCCTAGATTGCCTCCTCTCAACCACATGCTCCATAATCGTATCCATGCGCAGCGGAATTGAGCATGTAAAGCAGGAAAGGACATGAAACTCATGAACACATTAGGGAAGAGACGACAAGACAGTAGGAATTCAGGTCATTTATGGCCACCTCGCACAAAGGCAAGTTCAGGGTGCATCAGCTCTATATAGGAAAATGGCAAGCGAGCCCGAGCATGTTTGACCTTGGTCAGCTCCTCGCCAGGCAAGGATGGCAACTCGTCTATAACAACACAAGAAAATAAGGTCGTCACCAGTTCAAAAAAAAGGGGGTTGTTATCAACGAATGTACCAAGGGCAAGCCAATCGATACATACTCACCCAGATTTCGGCATTGCTCCCACTCTGTAGGGACCCTCACTGACGCTGAAAAATGGGCCCCATACTCCCAACCATCTCCAGAAACAAAAAAGTATCTCCTCCTCCATCCCTCAGGCTCGGGGAGGGAGGTCTCGAATGGGAATTTCACCTACCCATCTGGGGACGAAGTGATAGAATTCAAACTCCTCTTTCGAGTGATAAAAATGAAGGAACTCTAGCACGATGGCCCTAGATTGTGGGAATAACTCTCCCCACACCGCCATGAAGGATAGCAAGATCGCCTATCCTAATAGAAGAAGAATAGCGGGCTAGAAACTAAAGAAGTGTAAAACCCTCAGATGAACGGGGGAAACGGAAACCGAAAACCCAACAGGAAGGGAGCCTCAAAAAAGCAAGCCTCGCCCCTAACCAGGTAGTGAAATCGATGCAAGTAGGTGTGGCGCGCAACCACCCCCGGAGGGAAATCGAAACGCTCAGNCATGTTCATAATGTGACTCCATCGTTCTCACACAAGCTAGCGTCTAGCAAAAGGAGATGGATAATCAGTACGAAGAAGGCCATAAAGTACCTAGAAACAATTTCTTTAGGGGAAAAAAGACTAAGAAAGGGGCTAGGGATACCTCAGCTAAACCCCTTACAACGTGATGGGCCTTATCCCTGAAGGCAACGCATCTGGTCGCTACAAGATCCGAAACGAGAATCAAATCGATCAGAGCCGCCACTGCGGGCTTGGGGTAGCGAAGAAATCCCCCTTGGCCTTTGGATTCACGAAGGTCAGACACTCCCCTGGCAGACCTCTGGGGAACAGATTTAGGGGGAGGATGGTGAGCTAGTGGCACAGTAGTTAGCACAGGTAAGGGCCCCTCGGATGCCGACTTGCCAATGGGAAACTCGGGAGGCAAAGAGGCTGAGCTGGCTCCTTCAACGGAAGCTAGGACCTCGCATTTCTCCTCCAAGTTAACCGACGCTTGGCTTAACACTTGCCCATCCTTGGAAGGCAAGTCTGCATGTTTCACTAGTTTCTTTTTCTTCCTCGCCCTCTCCATGTCTAAAAAAACAGTCATAATTAGGTCTGGATCCATGGGAACAGGCTGAGAAGTAAGTGGAGGGACGATATCTGGGGCAGCCTCTAAAGGTGGGCCGAGCTTGTGCTTCGCAAGATTTGCCTCTGTTATAAGCTTAGGGAAAGCCTGCAACCCAAAGGCTTCTGCTTTGGCGATCCAGGCGTTCTCCTCGGTATTGAGTGTTGAGCAAAAATCTGCAAAACAGATAAGAAGTTAGCAAAACACTAATAGGAACAAGTACAGGAAAGAAGGGCACAGCTACCCAATCGGCCTTACTAGTGTTCCTTAGGACCCTCAAAGACCGGGGAATGCGAGGGATGTCGTCGGGCTCCCCTGACAGTTCCTAGGAGTCACCTCTAATGAAGAAAAGTTTCAGCTTTCACCCCTTATTAGAGGAGGGATGCCTAGAAATTAGGGACTTCGCCATCGCCCTCTTAGCAAAATACAAGAAGCCAAAGGGGGGAGAAGATTTAAGTTGAAAAAGAGAGGCAAATTCTTGAATGAAGGGAGGGGAGTCGTTCTCGCTCTTAAACCAATGAATAAGGAAACTGACCAAAAGGCCCCAACTATTGGGAGAGAGCCGAGCTGGACAAATATTATAAAAACTGAGGACACTCTGAATAAAAGGATGAACAGAGAATCGAAGTCCAGCCCGAAATGCAGATTCATAAAAATAGGTCAACCCAGAAATGGAGGAATTGCACCTCGCATGCTCCTCAAGAGAATGCAAGGACACAGAATTCGGGAACTGATATTCCCGCCTCAGCTCCTCCAGATCCTTATCGTTGAGACAACTGGAGGTTGAACTTGCATAACAGCTCAAGTCAAAATGATCACGACGGTTTTCTTCCTAAGAGTGGGAGGCGGAATCGGCTTGAACTTCCTCTTCCTCTATTGGGTAAAGGGAATAGGGGGCAAAGCCAAAGGAGCCTGAGTCTCCGCTAAAGGAACCGAGGAGGAAATTTCAGGGGTAGACCCAGAAGCCTCCTCGCCAACGATAAGAGAGCGGTCACTAGAGGAAGGTGATGTAGTCTCCTCAGCCCCCTCATCGAACTGGTCAACAAACTCTGACTCATAAGAAGAAAATGACAAACTTCCCCATCAAAGGCTCGGGTCATAAACTGGAATGTAGGGAAGGTAAATGCAAGGTGTAATCCGTTAAAAACAAAGGTTTCATACACCAGGCCTTAAGGTAGGATACCCTCGCCAAGGAAGAATGATCTACAAATTGTGAAAGAAGAGAAAGATCGTTGGAGTGTTCCCTAAAGTAACTAAATCTCCAGATCAGAAAGCGGAACCCAAAGCCCCACTAGGGAGGGTTAAAGGGATCCAAGTCAAGCAAAAAGAGGAAAAAAAAAAAAAGAGACGTGCCTAGTAAAAAGCTAGAATCAGAAGGAGCCAGAAACGCAGAAACCTTAAGTTGTCATAGAGCCTGGAACGAGACACCTCCAAAGCCAAAGGAAGGGAAAGGGCATAAAGGAAAAAGATTCAAAATCATAGGGTGAGAAAAACGAAGAGATTTTCCCCTTTGATATGCAATATTCAATTCATGACAGGTGTATGACAATTCACGCAAGGAAAATCGTACCTACAGGCTCACCTGTAATTGACATGTGTACATAACCGTCTCATCACAGCTGACGGATAGTAGTGCTGCCCAATCTGGGTCAAAACCAGTAATCAAGCGTGACCGCCACTTGAAGAAATGATGTCAAGTTCAAAAAAAAAAGACATTTCTAACCCCATATCAGAGATGACGTCATTCTCATGACTTGGGGCTGGGGGCAACTGATGAGGATGAAATCTGAGTCATGGGCCTTCATGAGTCCACTACAAAAAGATCCGAATATGAGATCCACAGTTAGGCCACATCTTTTGGCCTAGATGGCCAAGCCGAAGAGGGAAAGCTCAACATTAGTAGAGGGCTTACTATACACACAACCCTAATCCGCCCCAGTCGATGAGCAGCCCCAAAATGAAAGCCTGGCCCAAATGCTCTTTGAATCATTCTCATTGCACCACGTAACCCAAAGACTCAGAGACCACCCCTGACACCGATGACAATCGCAGAGTTGAGAAAGGGTGGAACGTAAAGCCACTAGAGATCGTGGTAACAATAGCGCCAAATGAACAGTGGTGCCAGATGATAGAGAAAACTACAGGGTGCAGAGTAGAAGACCCACGAGATCAGCACAAAAGTAGGTGGAGCAGCGGGAAAACCCTAAGAGAATCATTGTATAAATAAATAACTGTTACCTAACGGAGGGGGGGATTGTTCTTTTGAACCTTCTCCTTCCAGACTAGATACTTAAGCCCAAACCCTAGCAAATAGAGGAAAATATTTGCCCCCAGTAATGAATTCAGCGCTTGTATCCTTATAATTCTCACAAAAGATCAAGCAATATATAGCTTCGAGGAGCAGGAGACTCCTTTCACAATTGACGTAGTCTTAGTTCTTCGGCTAAGATAAACCACTCACATTTCGTGTTCTTTTAACCACAATTGACTGACCATTTAATCAACTGATCCTCGAATAACTTCACAATCTTATCTATCAGGTCTAGGCCGCAATTTTTGAGCATCATCAAATGAGTATAGAAGGGATGAACTTAATAGTTTAATTATAAAAAATTTAAAAATGTGAAAATTAATATTTGTGGGTTGAAAAATATAAAAAAAAATCAAAAGATAAAAATTAATATTTATGGAGTGAAAATAGTCCCATCATAATAATTTGGGTGGGACTATCCCTACCATTTAAATCCCTGATACCACCTCATTTAGTTCTTTTTCTTTAAACTATAAAGTTCACTCAATCTATACCCCCTCATATCGATTATTAAATCTATAATANAAAGATAAAAATTAATATTTATGGAGTGAAAATAGTCCCATCATAATAATTTGGGTAGGACTATCCCTACCATTTAAATCCCTGATACCACCTCATTTAGTTCTTTTTCTTTAAACTATAAAGTTCACTCAATCTATACCTCCTCATATCGATTATTAAATCTATAATATCTATATTCACTAATTAAAAATTAAATTCATTCAATTTTATTTTAACCTACTATATAGGTAATGATCAAAATTTTGTTTTGATGTATTATTTTGGTATTAAAATATTTCAAAAATAGAATAAAAATAAATAAAATATAAATAATTTATTTTTAAAATATTAGTTAAAATAAACCAAAATATGTTAAAACATCTCAAAATATTTTAAAGACATTGATAAAAATATGTCAAAATATCTTAAAATACCTTCAAATATTTTATATCACATCGAAACATTGAAATTTTTGCTTCAATTATTATTTGTGTTTCAATTTTTTTGATATATATATATTTAATAGTTTAATTAGATGGATACAAATGGGATAAATTTAGTCATTAATGGTATAAATATAAATGGATGAACTTAATAATTTAAAATAAAAAAAGACCTCATTCCAACTTGTTACAAGTCATTTTCCCTCGCTCGCTAGCTTTCTGGATCGCTCTCTCTCTCTCGCAAATGAAGTTGAAGCTAAAAGCAAAGGATAAACCGACGGACCACCCTTATCTTGCCAAGGAAGGTGGCAAAGGAAGAGGAATGGTGGATCTAGGAAATGGTAGCGAAGTCCTTTACATTCCAAGATTCATATCATACGAGGAGTCTTGGGAATACTTGGATTACCTCAACAAGCACATTCCTTGGACTAGACCCACTATTCGCGTCTTCGGCCGATCCTGTGTTCAGGTTTCCCCAATTTCTCGTTTGGATAAAAACCATCTCTTTTGGCCTTGTTATATGTGTGTATATATATGTATATTTTACATCTATTTCTAAAAAAGGTGGCATTTTTTATGAATTGGGTGGCTAATTTTGTGGGATAATATGATTGATATTCGTTTTTATTATTGGGAAGGAGTTAGCTGTATGTAGAAGGGTAAATTTGGATCAATTTGGTCCTTTGGTTTTGTTATTTTGCCTGGTTTGTCAATTGGGAATTTAAAATTGTTCATGTGGCTCTTAGAATATCGAGATTGCTCTAATGGTTAGCGACTGAAATCATCTTGAACTCGGTTCACAATGTTAATTTACCATTCCTGAGGATTTATTATACTCCCTCACTCCTTTTCTTCATGTTATATGACTATTTGAAGAAACAAGCATCCCTATAAGCGCAATAAGAGTTCGAATCTAGACATTTTTTTTGGCTGGAATATTAGTGTGGATGCATGGGATACGAAAGAATGTAGACTTATTGTCATGATGAATTTCTCATTTATGGATATACTGTTACATGGTACATTGGGGAACTCATTACTTTTTTTAGAAAAAAAAGTTTTGCTTTTCTAGAGCTTACTTTCATGTTCAATCCATGGACGATTGGGAATTGTAATTAATTGTAGTTTCTCATAGTTTATATTTTGCTCTGCAGCCCAGAGACACATGTTATGTTGCAAATGCAGGATTGCCAGAACTAGCTTACAGTGGGTATCAGCCTCGTGTGTATTCGTGGGATGAATTTCCTCCACTTAGAGAAATTTTGGACAGAGTAAGAATATTTTCTTTGTATTTCCTCAATATCATTGTTTTTTTGATTATCTATTAGTGACCTGCATGAATGTTGCCTTATAACTTTGTGTCACACTGTAGGTCCACAAAGCACTTCCTGGAAGTTGTTTTAACAGCTTGCTCCTAAATCGGTATAAGGGTGGTGATGACTGTGTTGGATGGCATTCTGATGATGAGAAGCTCTATGGACCGACTCCAGAAATTGCCTCCATTTCTTTTGGATGTGAACGTGATTTTCTTTTGAAGAAGAAACCTAGTAAAATATCTCAAGGTACATGCACAATCAATCGTCTTATCTCTTTTTTGGTATATGATCAGTGTTTGCTATCAAATTTGAAGTCCCAGACTACATTAGTGTATCTATTTTGTTTTTGGACAGACACGTTTTGATGGTTGTTGCCTGTGTTAATTTTGGTTACTGAAAAGTTTAACAATTATGTCAGTATTTGTCTATATTCGCAAAACATCTTATTGTATAAGGGCAAGAGAATGCCATGCATCGACATTCCAACACGGAAATACCTGAAGATTTACTCTATATGCTTCCTTAGAAAAGTTTTTATTCTCTGTGTGCCAGCTAAAAGATTCGAGGGTGAACCTCCTAGCAAAAGATTAAAGAAGACTAGCCATTCCAACCAGCACTCATTTACATTAAAGCATGGCTCATTGTTGCTGATGAGAGGCTATACCCAACGGGATTGGCTCCACTCAGTGCCTAAACGTGCAAAAGTAGAGACAGCACGAATTAATCTAACCTTCAGGCATGTTCTCTGATTGACTTGTGATCAAGAAAGTGCTTGTTAAGTGCTAAAGGGTACACAGCATACAGAATTCCTTTGAAATTCTGCTATGCCTTTTAAGTGCTTTTATTTTTGTTTGAAAGCTGGTAGATGTTGCGAATACACGGTTAAATACTGTGGAGACTTAGTATAGAAGGTTTTCTATCGTTCTTACACTTGGTGTTTATGGATGAAAGAATGTGCAGAGAGAATACAACAAACAATGTAGACATACAAACATGTTAAGATTTTTAAATTACCTAGAGTGGACTTACATTTGTATATCTGTATATTTGCTTGAGTGTGGGATGCAAAACTGGTGAGGGAAGCTCTCCATTTTATCACGTGCATGGAAAACCATCCCTGCTCTGCTAATGATAGATAATGATATGGAGCTCAGCTAATTAGGTCTCAGTACCTGCAACACCATTACACCTGAACTAAGACAAGGCAAAAAGCAGTAGCACTTTGCACTGGGGAAGGAGCATCATCTGCCCTTGTTTTAGACTTCATTTAGGCCTCTTTTTAACTCTTGGTAAGGTTCAAAAGCTCATTCAATTGCTTCAGAATTTTGTAGCTTCACAAGATCACTTGTAGACATGGATGTATGGATTTTCTAAGCTGGAATAGCTTTGAGTTTCTGAGTTTGAATGCATAGGAACTTAATAGGAGTGAATTGCCTGCTTATCTGAAAATAGTACCATAAAGTACATGGCATATGATGTTTGGAGGCCATGTTATATTCCTTTGCAGATAAATTGAATATCGGATATTCATGATGATTTAGGATTCCAATACTTGATTGCTTGACTGTGATTCGAACCTTTTTACAGTAATATGAACATCAATAGGACAACTCATTGGATTTTTAATGCTTCTTGACTGTCTGAGTATGTTATGAACCTTTTTACTACTCTGTTCTTTGCATTGCTAGCTGAAGATTCTCTAGACAGGTGCGTATTTTATCAATTGAAAATTTTGGTTGACTTTCAATGATAGATAGGAATACTCTCCAAAGCTGTGAATGATACAGGAGAATTTGACCTAATTCTGTTTAGCTATCCTATTTTGAAGCAACTGATGTCCCGTCCCCATTGGGGTGGGGGAATCAAGAGGCAGGACTTGGAGATGGACCAATGAATGACTATATTAGATAGTATGCAACATGGAACCACTTTTTAGGGTACAAAACCTATTCTCTTATAAAAGGGGTTCGTGAATAAGATGTCGAGCTCTCTCACTTAGAGTGAGAGTGATCCCTGCATAGCAGCAATAAATCAAAATAAGGATGCATTAAATACATTGCCATCATAAATTAAGTGTTTCCTTGTCTCACAGTTACGTAGATACCTTCCAGAGAGTTCCCTCTGGATCTTTGCTGACACATCTAGTAATCTTAATAACACAAGGCTAATAAAGAAACAAGGATAGCTAGAATAGTTGAATGGTATGTGACAGAGTATGGCATGCGGCCTTTGTCCTTTCGGAAGAAGAGTCCTTGGTATACTGGCAGGTTGATGAAAACCACTAAGCCACTTAGTACTATCTGTAATGCTAATTTGTGTGAAACCTTAGCTTGCAAGTCCTCTGTAACCACCCTCTGTAGTCCCGCCACTAAACTGAACAAATTGAGCAGCGCAACTGTAGCTAAAACATTGAACATTGGTGAACGCCCACCAAATTCCATTATCTCTTGTTCGTATCTCTCAGCAACGTCGTCATCCGCAAACTTTGCAGTAACTACGAAACCAGACTTAGCAAACCCCATTAGCTTTAAGATGGTGTCTGAGAATCCAAATAAGTAAGAAGTTGTTCTTCTAAACAACCACATTCTCTGATCATTCAACCACCCTTGCAATGTACCTCTGCACCACATAAACTCACCTAAGCTGTACGCATACTTGGCGATGATGACATATCCAAAAGGTAAAACCCAGGGGCTTGATAACTGTGGGCACAAGATGATTCATCTCTTAAAAGAAAGCACCAGTGCTTATAAAACAGTGACAGGTTTAGTAGGTTTTAAATTAGTAGAACAAATCCACTCGGTCTTTGCATTGAAAAAGTTAATGATTCTAATTTGAGCAACAAAAAAAAAAATTTGAAATTTCTCTGCCAGTTGTTGTAATGGTTTGGGGAGCATACCTCTGGGAACAAGGAGACGCCTCTAAGGAGACATAGAGGTGGGACAGCAACATAGAAGAGTGTAGCCAAGCAGTTTGGAGCCCAAAGCAAGTAGCAACAATATGAAATTTGAAGACCTAGAGGAATCCTTCTATAGCCATACAGAAAAGGGCAGTATTTTGAGCAAAATATCTGAAAGTCACCTTCTGACCATCTCTTATGTTGTACTAGTGTCTGCAATAGGGTTGTGGGAGCAAGTCCTAAGAAGGCCTTCCTTTCTGGATTGAGGTAGACAGATTTCCAACCTCTATGTTGTATTGACAATCCTGTGACAACATCCTCTACTGGAATGCCATACATCACTCCCATCTGTAGATCAACATGCATGTATGAGAGTTCATATGCATGTTTGTTTGTTTGTGTGTGTGTGTCAGAGAGAGAGAGGAGAGAGAGGGAGAGAGAGAACCTCCTTTCCCCATTGAGTGTTCTCTTCATAGGTGCAACTTGCAAGAACCCCGCATGTCTCTTGAAGCACATCTGCGCTTTCTTTAACCAATGTGCCATTCCCTTTCTTCCAGTCAATCTTACTTCCTTTGTTGTACTTCTTCCCGCAAAGAACGTCTCTCCTGTGAAAGCACCCAGTACCGATATATAAAGGCCCTCCATTGGAATCGTGGCCTAAAAACTCCACCTTGGTCACCATAAGGAATATATATATATAGTTAGTAAATCATGGTAACTTTATATGAGTGAAGCTGAAATCTAAGTACATGTTTTCGATTAATTAATTCTTACATTCATTATTACTTTTAAGGAATTGCAGTACAAATCATTCTTGGTGAGGTTGTCAAAGCTTTGTGGAAACTGTACGAAAGCAATCTCATGGCTCCTCTCTTCATCCATGAAAAAGCACATGGCATCTCTCACTGACTCTGAATTGTTTGAATACATGTCGCAATCCACATTAAGAATAATTGGACTGTTGCTTATCCTTGATGACACCCTTATCTATTAAGTTCAGTCATGGACACACACCGTAAACATCATAATAATGAAAAAAAAAAACTAACTACTAATTAACCATGTAATAAAATAAGAGTGAAGCTACATAAATGTGGCAGCTTTCGCAGTGTCCCATGCCAAACATAGTTTATGATATATATTGTACCTGCTAAATTATTCGATATTGTAAAATATGCTCATCATGCCTTATGTGTGGATGCATGAATAGACATAGTTTACCAGGGCATTGAGTGCTCCTGCTTTAAAGTTATGGTGGTACTGGGGTCTCTTCTCACGGGCCAAGTATACCAAAGTTGGCAGAGGTTTTCCTTCATTGTCCACAGTATTGGTGTCTCTTCCATCAACTAGCATCTGAGAGATCACCAAATTAAAGTAAATAAATCATCTGCTCTGCTATATATAGTAAAAATATATAATTTTTTTTGTTTTTTGGTAGCTGTAATAGCATGCATGATTGAAATGTTGAATTGATGATGGATCATATTACTTGAAGAATGGTGTGATGATCGCGTTTGCTTGAAAATACGTCCCACTCACGAAATCCCTTGTGCTCTCTGCGTAATTTATCTGGAATTCGGCCTAGTTTCATGGCATTGTTGATCCGTTTTTCCATTTCACTATATAATCTCTATCAAAAAATAAAAATTGATATAAATTTAGTTAAGAAAAAGTTCAACTGATATATTATTGAACTGCAAACAAATGTAGAGGTGTAAAGCAAGTAGCTCCAAGTAGCCGTTACTGCCACCCCACCGGAAATGATCGCCTTTACTGAAGCTAATCAACAAAGGCCAAAATTAAACAGCTGTTAAAGAAATCTTTCTTCCCGATTTCGACTGATCCTGATATCTTTGGTAGGGCCCAACCGTGAACATCAGTAATACAATCAATAATGCACTGAGAAGTGAGGACCACGAAAACATATATATATATATATATAATTGGACAGGATCGGATCCGATTATTGTCCAAGTACTATTGGATTGGGACCTTGGAGTGCTTATACATAAAAGATTTCCCGATGCACTTTCAAAAAAGAAAAAGAAATAGAAAGAAATTGGGAATATAAAAGAACACCAGAAAAACTTCTACATAATACAGAAAAACTGATATATTACCTCAATAATGGTGAAGTAACACAACTGGGGTTTGAGATGGGAATGGATCGCCTGATCCGCTTACCTTGGTTTAAGCGGAAAAGACCCCCAAAATGGTTGATTATATATGCCAGTAAAAAATTATTCAGATCAATACAATTTTTCTACAAAAATTATCATGTACTACCTTAGTGGAGGACCATTCTTTGGCCATTAGATGATCATCCAGTGGTGGTTCTGTAACTTTAGAGAAATAAGCTGCTGGTGACCTTGGTTCTATTCTGAATTTCTTGCAAAATGGTAGCCAGTACTTTGAGAAGCGAGAAGCCTCTAGGAGAGCATAGAACATCAACTCTGAACCACCGTCGTCAGAAAGGTAGACATTCATCTTCTCCGGAGGGTAGCTGTAAGTCATGACTGATAGGACTGTGTTAATGACCATCAGTGGTGGCTCTAATACCGGGTCAGCTGTGCACACAAATATGTCTATGCCCGGCAGAACCTTCTCATATCTGGTATTTAACATTCACAATAAGAAACAAGTACTAACAACAACAACAACAAAGTAACAAACATACACACACACATACAAATGAGAGAGAGAGACCTTTGGGAGAGCCTTTCTTTGAATGTATAACGGTATATAGGATTCCATCGAGCAGATTGAGTGACAAACCAGTAGAAACTAAACCATAGGTCCGCCAGAAACAAACCTATCCAAGCCCATCTTCCATCTTCTCCTTGTGCCGGTAGATGACTTACTCTATACACAAATATGAAACCTATGCCAACAATCATTGAACCTGCATACAACCAATATGGAATACGTCCTTTTGCAGACTTCGTTTCAAAGAGAGGAAGATAACCATCTTTTCCCATCTCTCTCTCTCTCTCTCTCTCTCTCTCTCGTTTGTGTGGGAGGAGACTGGAGAGGGGGTGGGGGTAATGTGAGGCCTTAATGTGCTAGGTAATTTTTGCACCATTTCATAGCGATATAATATATCACAATTCCAATCCACTGACTATAGCTAATAACGTGTGGAAAACTTTGAAGTCAGACTGTTCTAGTGTCTTTGAATATTCGCCTGATGTTGGTTGTTGTTAGATGTATCAACTAGGAGAGTTTTTGTCACGTATCAAGCTAGAAGAGTTTGGTCATCAATTATATATACAAACGGAAAGGAACTAGTGACTTGACTATAAACAGAAGTGGACGACAACGTTAAATAATAAAAGACTGTACATGAAGAGTGAATGGACATGTCTATAGGACTATCACGCTGGTTCTAAGTATATTCGGTATGTCAATATAAACAGGTGAAAATGCAGAGCGCTAGAGTTTATATATAAAGACTCGTAGATTGAACTTGATCCTTTACTTATTAATGACTATGTTTGATCACTTGTTAAGGTCAGCGTAGTTCATCTTTATTGAGCGCTATACATCTCTCTTTACAACTTTAATTAGGCAATAGTTGCACAACTAAGATTCCTTCCTACATCATATACTTATAACATAAAAAATGTTACTTAGCTTTTACTTAGAAGAAGCACATTGAGATAATGTTAAAAGAGTGTAGTAACTGCTTGCACTAAGAGTGAGCATCCAGGATGGTTAGAATTAAGGAATTGAGAAATCAAACAGAGGAATTCGATCATTTTAGGGTTTCAGTCTTCCGGTGATTCAGTTCAGCAAGCCCATCATGCATAATTCCCTCACTTCTGCAACTCAGATTCTAAGGTCTGGGCAATTTCTCTTCCTTCCACACCTTCATCTGGTCCAGCAGTTGCCAGAGGAATGTTCTGAATGTTGGGAAGATCCAGAACTTTCTGCTGGGTTTGAGTTTCAGCCCATGTGGGCAGCCCAACCCAAAAATCACGGATCCAAATCCATAGTTTTAAGGTAAAAAAAAAAAAAAGAGATGGTTTTTTTTCTTTTTTGGGGAAGACTTTGTTTTAAGACACTTGATGGATAATCCCAGTGAGAAAAAGCAGTTGCTGCCAACAAAAAGAAAAGAAAGGAGTGGCGCGGCGGTAAAAAATATAATAGAAGGTAGAGCTTGACATTCGTGGATATATCTTGGATTTATCTGAATCACGTAAATTTTGTGTCTTGGTTATAGTTGATATTACTATCTGATTTAATTTTTTCGTTAGTTGAGTTTAGTAGTACGCTGCCTATTTAATTTTGGATTAAGTAGAATAAAAAAAAATTAATTCCGNTCGTTAGTTGAGTTTAGTAGTACGCTGCCTATTTAATTTTGGATTAAGAAGAATAAAAAAAAATTAATTCTGCTAATTTTATGGGTTCATCCTATCACCTTCTTTTCGGCAAAAAATGTGGGCGATATGAATATTATTCCATTATCTGCACAAAAAATGCATTGTGCGTAATTAGAGCTCCAATCCTTTTCTGTTTTTTGGGGTGGATGGACTTGACCTGAGTCTATCATCAATTATTTGGGGAAGACAATAATAACATACAAAAATTATAGTAGAGTAATTCAAAGTAACGAATATTATGCCCAAACTAGCACTCTCTTTCAATATACTTCCTAATCTAACATTTTTTTTTTCAAAACAATTACCCTTCTAATGCTCTGCTTGCCATCTCATCAAGTATATTTGGGAACTGTTTTAAGTCTCTTCCTTCCTTAACAGCTTCATATGGAAAGTGGAAACTATATTACTTTTAATGTGAATTTTTTTTTTTTTTAATTTGAGTAAAAACTCCGAATTTTATAGAGTTATTTCCAATAGATATGTAATAGTTCCATTGACTATTGTTACAGGGGTGAGGGATGTGCCAAGGCACTTGAAATCATGGGTTCTTTCGTCAATGTAGCCAACTAAAATTTCCCTTGTTGCTTCTTCACTTCCAAAAATGCTTGGAGAGAATCTGAGGCTTGGTAACACACCATATAAAAACTAAAACAATTTTATGACTCAATATATGTTTTGTATATTTTGGTTTAGTTCCATTTGTTAGGGAGATGGAGAGTCCAACAAAGAAGACCAATGTACATTTGAAATACTACTTGACCCAAAAACTGAAGTTCTTAGGTCTTGAACTAATCCATGTATAAAGTCCCTTTTTACCATACCATTCTTGCAATGCTATTACTCTCGACCCCCAAACTGCTCTTCATGAGTCACCATCATCAGCTTTCTGTCGATGGTCCATGACCATCATGTACTTGTCATGTTCCATTGAGGGTTCATCATGCATTAACTGAATTCCATGAGCCTACACAGTTCTCAAAACCCACTTAATCTCTAATTGGAAACTCGTATTCAATTTTGTCTAATGGAACGCTCAGTGCTATTTTTTGAGAAGATGGAAGCTCAAAAAGAAATCGGTCCCAAAAGCTACCTTAAGTAATTACGTCTTGGATTGCTCCTTGTTTTTTTACCCATTTTTTACAATGTTGTTTGTCTGGGATGAAACTTCAACTTTACGCTAGTTATTTATCAGTTTATTGCCTTTTTAAAACAAATATACTAAAGTACGATATTTTTGAACTTATTTATCAAATTATGACATACTTTAAAAGCAAAGTCAAGTAGCCCATTTTTATTAAAAACAAGGTTAATAACTCCGTTTTTAAATAAAAAAGGGAATATAATTAGAAAAAAATTGTTTACAATACAGGTAAAAAAACATGTTTACTAAACACACTTTTGTAAAAAAGCGTTTTAATAAACATGCCTTTTGATGCCGACCATATATCACTAATCAATTTCTATTATTTGTGAAATTTTCAAAAAAATAATTTCTAAAAAATTAACTAATGAATNATCACTAATCAATTTCTATTATTTGTGAAATTTTCAAAAAAAGAATTTCTGAAAAATTAACTAATGAATGACAAGAAAGTTTTGTTGTAATTTCTCATTGGTGTAAGTACTATACACTCTTTTATCATCTTGTTTTATACACTCAAGTTTTTAATGTATTCATTTTAATACTGACTTAAATATCAAAAAGGGTTTCTCTCAACTCAATATCTGGACTCCTAACTTTTTGTCAGTTTTGCAGCTTTTAGATTAGATGATATCCAAAGACTAAGGGACACCTCTTAACACATTTTAAGGATGGTCAAATTTTTCCAGCATGCAGAATCAATATACAAACCATAGTAAATTAAGGGTTTCCACTAAAGAAGGTGGAATTTCAATTGAATAGTTTTTTTTTTGTACTACAGAGTGTTAAAACTTATGTCGATTACTCTCTCGAATTCTGAGATTGACCACCATAGCTCAAGCTTGTTTAGAGGGTGTGGTTGAGATCTTTTACTTGTAAGAGAACATGTTTGAACACTAAATACCTTTAGGGCACGTTCGGATGACAATTATTTTAATTGGGAATGGGTGTCTTATTCCTAATAATGAGATATCCGGATTTCAATTATTATAGTAATCTTATATCTAGTGTTTGAATGATAGTTACTGTTTGATTTTAGGAGGAGAACTTAATTTTTGAAATGAAGTTGATTTTAGGAATGTATTTTATTTTGATATTTTTATTTCTTATATAGAATACTCAATCAATATAAGTATAAGATTACCACCATTCACCATGGATTTAGGATACCCATGATTATTGGGAACTAGAGTACGGTAATAATCTTATTTCTAAGTTAAATTACTGCATAAATGACTCCCTAAATATGGTAATTTAAGATTTAAAAATGAAAATTTCATTCCCAATCAAAATTATCGCCATCCAAACAAGATCTTAAGAATTTTTAATTGAATAGTTGATTTTAATGGGCAAACTAGAAATGGTGAACAATCGTTAACGAATGGTATCTAAGTTTTGCCATAATATAGCTGACGATGGTAGTTCCTTTGATCCGGAGCCCAAATACCCCTTCAATGTTTGCTCTTTATATATCCACACCAAAAAGCTTTTTTGAAATCTGATTTGAACTTCACCTCTGTTGATTCTGATCCGTGTCTGTATATTCTAAACTAATTAAAGAATGACAATAAATAAAAAGGCCCTATGCACCAAGTTCAATGTATAAATTAGTGAGTTACCCACCATACACTACAAGATCCATGATATGAGAATCAAAATCATAATGAGAAAGAAAAAGATATCATGATGTAAATCTATTATTCCTTGCATCATAAGTGTTGCTGTGTTTGAGATCCTAATTGTCATGATTCCGTAACATCACAAGGAGCAATTGTAAGAAATAGTTATTTTAGAACAATAATTTGGTTTGGTTATTCTTTGATTACTTCCCCCCCAAAAAAAAAAAAAAAGAGAAAGACTTATTCTTACTCTCCCAATTTAAAAAGATCAGAATCGCTCTGAATGATTCAAACGGTATGAAGAGAAATTCTCACATACAATATATATATATATATATTAGTCATAACCTGTGCTTGAAGGTACGATAAAATATAAAATTTGAGCGTTCAAAAAATCGATTCCACTATATTAAATTTTTTCAAAATATATTAACTACAAATTAATCAAATATTAAATGATTAAATATATGATAAAAATGAGTAATGTGATGTTTTTAGAGAGAAAATATATAAATGATTAAACATGTGATAAAAATGAGTGATATAATTTGACGTTTGAGTCTGACAAAGTGATAATTGGTGAGATAAGTGATTAATGATGATTTTGAGGAAAAAAATATGACTGAGATAAAAATTCAAACAAACTCTTATTTTATTATATAAATTTTTTGGAGGGTGAGTTTGGAGAAGCCTAGCAGGGTCCCCACTGACATGGGCGGGCCTAAGTGGTAGTGATGTGGTGGGGCTAGTATTCAATGTTTTTGGTCGTAGGTCTGCAATTGNGAGTTTGGAGAAGCCTAGCAGGGTCCCCACTGACATGGGCGGGCCTAAGTGGTAGTGATGTGGTGGGGCTAGTATTCAATGTTTTTGGTCGTAGGTCTGCAATTGCATGCAACGAAAACTGACCCATGTGGTGGAGGTGCACTGTGGCAAAAAACTGTCCTTGTCCAGTCCCACTTACCATGCCAT